TCTTGCTGTAGCCCTTGTCTCTCTTCCACACCAGACAAGATAAGCACTCCCACACGACAGATCCCCGTACACAAGGAACCGCAGAATAACCATCTAATACGCAATCAAAAGGCGATGACAGTGATATGTTTAAACGTCCAAGAACGCGCTAGTGAATCGCTAAAAGGTAGCCAATCCAAGGCGCAAAACCGCTGGGCTGAAATAACCTGCGCACTCGGACTGAAATTCTCCCAACTAGTCTTACAGGCCTTTCACGAAATCTGTCATTTCCACACGTAGGGGAACCTCGATTAATGCGAGTAACCTTTGATAACACACGCGACCTGGAAGCTGTTCTCTTAGCAAGTCACATGCTAGTGAACACTTCTGTCAATGTTCACATTTTTCTCGAGAGGCCATGGGTAGAAAGACAGAAGCGGAACTCCAACCCTAGTGGTTCACGTCAAAATGATATGGAGAAAATGGTACTGATTCATGGTGTGCCAGAGTTAAAGCATGACCGATAACATGAAGCGTCGAGCGCGCGCTGCGCGCGTGCGCGCGCGCCGAAAGTATGGGAGGCATATCACAGAGTACGGTGAATCCGGTGGTGGAAGGTGAATAAAAGAGGTAGTGTATCTAGGGTCAAAGGTTAGGTTGTAAGGGATGTGATGTACTCGATTTTAAGACTTTGGATGTGTTTAAAAATTAAAGGTTATGCCACAATTCTCGTGCTAGTTTTTGATTTGTCGGTTAAGCAACATATAAGCAGTTGACGCTTTCCTTATCTTCGGGGTAGCGGAATAAATCGCCTGTGAGTGCTGTAAGTACTATTAGAGCTACTGAGTATAATCGGTATCTATATTATAAAAGAGTAGTATCGCAGGAGATATCCCTTAATGTGGTAGATTTCGTGTTTGGGTTCTGCGCGTATCTCTTGGATCTTAGTTATTCTGCTCTATCGGTTGTAGGAGATTCTAGCTGTGACGGTTTATTCACATGTTATCTTCGCGTTAAATAATATATCGATTGAGGATAGCGTTATTGATTAGAGGTTTACTTTAGTTGTGGGGAGGTTTTCCTAGGCTCTATATGTATGGTTTATTTTATGAACTGCCGGCTAACGTATAGTCACAAGGCTAACGTATGGAATGGGTTCGCTAACGGTAAATGTAGGCGAAGGTATGATCGAGGACGGTGACTTGAGGAATGCATGTGGCCGGGCGTAGGTTGCTGCATGGTCGTTTAATATTCGATCTGTTTTGGTTGGGGACGTATTGGAGTAGATTCGGCTGTAATTTTAGGTGTTAAGGTATAATGGAATTTATTTGATTCACTGGTTAAGCGGATCTTGTTGGTTCGGGCTGCAGTCTGGTCTGTATTTCGTAGTAGTGCATATCTTTAAATACCTTAGGGCTTGGTTTTGCTGAACATATTATGACTATGAGGGCGGTTGATTTGTGTTTGTATAAGTCCGTGGGCTGATACATAACTGTTACTGAACCTTTGGGTTCAAAAAATTTGCTGCCGGGTCCTTGACGCGGGTGAGTAGTGTACGTCGGGT